AAAGTCTTAACACCAATAGGGCTGCAAGACACTGAGCAAGCGATATTGCGCCCAGACCTCTAGGATGTTCGTTGGGCTGTCGCAGGAGGCCTCCTGGGGGCCGTTTTGAGCCCCCCTGGGGGGCAGTTCTGGAGCATCTTGGGTCGTCTTCAGGGCCTCTTGGGGGTCTTTTGGTCTTTTTGGGGGGCCTCTCTGGGGCGGGAGACTCGGATTTTGGGTTCGGGTTCGCCCTCTTTGGCCCTTGGGTCATCTTAGGCGGCGCCTCTAGGGCCGTTTTGGAGCCCTCTTGAAACGTATTAGGGCCCTCCTTGGGGCGGTCTTGGGAGCTTCGCGGGCCGTCTTGGAGCGTCGGAAGCTGGAAGAGTCGAGGACCCACGAAAGATTGAACTAACTTGGCGAAGTACCCAACCATATGCAGTTGTGAGTTCCTCAGTTGTAGGTATCGTCTTCGGTGAAGCCTTATAGGGCCACGAAACGTTGTACCCGGCGGGGGACACGCATGCGGGCTGCGCCATTGGGACTCTCGGTGGAGCTTCCTACGGGGCCACGTAACGGTGGAGACGCATGCGGGCTGCGACATTGGGACCTTAGGTGGAGCTCCCTATGGGGCCACGAAACACTGCACTGGGTGGGGGGGACGCACGCGGGCTGCGCAACTGGGACCTTCGGTGGAGCTCCTTATGGGGCCACGAAACGTTGTATTGGGTGGGGGAGACGCATGCGGGCTGTGCCACTTAGACCGTCGTCGGAGCTCCCTATGGGGCCACGAAACGTTGAGCTGGGTGGGGGCGACGCATGCGTGCTGCGACACTGGGACCTTCGGTGGAGCTCCCTATGGGGCCACGAAACGTTGAGCTGGGTGGGGGAGACGCATGCGTGCTGCGACACTGGGACCTTTGGTGGAGCTCCCAATGGGGCCACGCAACGCTGTGCTGGGTGGGGGAGACGCATGTGTGCTGCGCCACTGGGACCTTTCGTGGAGCTCCCTATGGGGCCACGAAACATTGGACTGGGTGCGGGCAGACGCATGCGGGCTGCGCCACTGGGACCTTCGTTGGAGTTTCCTATGGGGCCACGAAACGTTGTACTGGGTTTGGGGGACGCGTGCAGGCTGCGACCCTGGGACCGTCGGTAGGGATCGTTATAGGGCCACGAAACGTGGTATTGGGTGGGAGAACGCATGCGGGCTGCGACACTTAGACCATCGGTGGAGCTCCCAATGGGGCCACCAAACGCTGTACCGGGTGGGGGAGACACATGCGGGCTGCGACACTGGGACCATCGGTGGAGCTTCGTAAGAGGGCCACGCAACGTTGTACTGTGTATGGGGGAGACGCATGCGGGCTGTGCAAGTGGGACCTTCGGTGGAGCTCCCTGTGGGGCCAGAAACGGATGAGGGGCGTGCCAAAGTGAGGAGGGTGACGGGAGGAGGGAGGAGGGAAGTGGAGGAGAGGAGGAACGCGGGGAGCTGTCTTTTGAAAACGAGGACCCAACACCATAGGATGGTTGGGAAAAGCCCAAGGATCGAGGACCCACGAAACATTGGAAAACCAAAGGAAAACAATGAGTTTGGCTTCTCGGGGCTCTTTTGGGAAGGCTCTTGGGGCTCTCTTGGGGCGCGTCGAAGGCTTCCTGGGCCGAGTGAGGCCATCGTGGACGTCTTGGACCGATTGTTCGGCGATTAGGCGCCCTCTTGGGCCATCTGGGCGGACTCTCGGGGCCTTCTGGGCCCCGGGCCCCAGAAGACACGCGAGGCGCCCCAGGGGGCACGCGGCAAGCCTCAGGAGATGTGGCAACCTTAGTTCCCGGGCCCTTTAAGATACCCTCAGGATTGAGGACTGAGGTTCCACGGGATCGAAGAGAGGGCCTGAGAACATTCCAAATCGTGCTTCGAAGGCACGGCGGCGGATTTGTCAAAGCAAAGCTATCGTTGGACACTTGCGTGACCTTTATAAGCCGACCTGGTCGCCACCCTTACAGCTAGAAGTATGGACGTCAGCCCCATTTCCTCTTCCTCCTCCCCCTCCACCATCACACAATCTGAATACTACTCTCCTCTCTCCCCTGATGACGTCCGGAATATATCCGCCTCCCCTCCGCGTACTGTTTTTTACACCGGGTTCCCGGGAATTGGGTTTCGCATGGTTCTTTTTCAAAATGTTGTTCCCGCTGAAGCGCTGGCCTCATTTTCGGGCTTCTGCTCCTTCCGAGTCGTGCTCCCGCTGCAGTGCTGGCCTCATTTCCGCGCTTCCGCTCGTTCCGAATCGTGCTCCCGCTGCAGCGCCAGCCTCATTTCCGCGCTTCCGCTCGTCCCGAATCGTGCTCCCGCTGCAGCGCTGGCGTCATTATTTCCAGTGCCATGCCACGGCATGGTTTCGGTCTTTCCAAACAGGCCCCAAAATCTAGAAAATGGCCTCTAGGAAAAAACATAGCAAGTGAGTACACATTCGGTTTCGAGTCGTTGATTTCTTGGGCCGCCCTCCCCCCACTTTGGGGCGTCGCCACGCCATGCGATGTCATGTTACGCGCTGATCTTCAACACCATGCTATGCCATGTAATGCTATGCTATGCTACGACATCCGATTGTGCGAAAGGATCGAAAATCTACGCCGTGGTAAGGGATGGAAGGGAGCGGTAGAACGTCTGATATGACGCGAGCGCACCTAGATTGTCCTCCTCCTCCTCCTCCTTCTCCTCCTCCTCCTCCTCCTCCTCTTCCTCCTCCTCCTAATCCTCCTCCTCCGAATAGTGCCTCAGCCGGAGAACCTACGCCCGGTCGAAAGGCTACATGTTCCCCGAGATGTGTGAACTTTGCGGTGCTGCTCGGGATACTCTTTTTCATCGTCTTTGGGTTTGTCCGTGTCTTGATAAAGAACGTCGAGAATATGTTGATGCTGATGTGCTTGCAGGCGTGAAGGAATTTGCTTCGACGAAGTCTCGGTTTTCAATTTTGATTCGAGGTGGTATGCCGCACCCTGCTGACGATCACCCACCCCCGCTCACTGAAGGCGCATGGCAGGTTGATTGAAATCAAGATCCTCCTCCGACCCAGCCTTTAGCGATCCAGGGAAAGGTTTTTATTGACGGTTCTGCTTCGCGGCACCCCATCAGGGAGCTCAGCCGGGCTGCTTGGAGTGCCGCCATGTTTTCCGACGACGGCGTTCACCTGTGCACCATGCGGTGTCCCGTTTGGGCCCCGCTCCCGCAAACGCCCCAGGCTGGGGAATTCTCGGGGTTTTGGGGTGCAACTATGTGTCTTGTCGGGCCGTCAGAGCTCGTCACAGACTGTGCCAATGTCAAGCAGCAGCACGATGCGTCACGTGATCGCCAGCTCTCGTTCAAAAAGATGTACGCTGGCATCTTTGTGCAGCTTCTTGCTCGCCCCGAGAGGAAACGCATCACTGCCGTCTCTAAGGTGCAATCTCATTTAAGTTTGAACGAAGAGGGCATCTCCGAAGAGGAATATGCCCGGAGGTTCGGTAACCATGTCGTCGACCTCGGTGCTAAAGCGGCCCTCCTCGCTCATCCTAGAGACGAAGGGGTCTTGGAAGAAGCTGATATCCTTGTGAAATACGCGCATGCCACCTGTAAGCTAGCTGCTAAACTTTTGCCTTTTTTCGCCCCCCTGAAGGCCTCGAAGGATATCCTTTATGTGCCTCAGGGCGCGGGCCCCCAGGGCCCCACTGCCCCAGGCCATCGTTGGGAGCAGTGGCGGGGAGCTTGGCGGTGCTCAGTCTGTCTTCGTGGTCAGCGATCCTCGGCTAAACCGGCTGCTGGACGTTGCCCGAATGATTCGAAATTGCACGCTTCGCGTCAGGACGCCCTGGGTCATCACACTGTGGCTTTCGATTGTTCTGATGGATCGGTCTTGTTCATTTGCACGCGCTGCAAATGCCATTCCACGGGTGCGTCCGTCAGAGGTCTTGGCGAGGAGTGCCGTGTCCCGCCCACTCGTGCTGCCAAGTATGGGTGGAACGCTCTCGCCAAAGGCCGCCACCCACACTATTCTCGATCGAAGCTCGGTGTCACTGTTGAGACAAACTTCTGCATTCCATGTTTCAACACTTTTGTTGAGGAGTCTGATGATGCCGTAGGTGCACCAGCTGACCCTCCTACTGGTGAGCCTCCTCCTGTCTTGCTCGCTGTGCCAGGACACTCTACTGAGCTGGACCCGCCTCTGGATGTCAGAAATCAGCCAGCTCAGGTACGACGTGCCCTTAAAATGGCGCCGGGGGGCCAGGTCGAGCCTGGGGACCAGCGCGATCTGGATTTTGATATGGAGGAAGAGGATGCTCGAACCTTTTTTGCGGATGTTGTTTCAGCCCCTTCGATTGTTAGTAGGCCTGTGGATGTTCTGCAGAGTGTGGCGGAGACCCTTCGCCGCGTGGGGGGCGAACAGTCTCTACCGCTGCCTTCGCACGATGATGGAGGGGCGTCTGACACACCCCAGGGGTATTCCGTGACACGCCCCAGGGGTATTCCGTGACACGCCCCAGGGGTATTCCGTGACCTACCCTTGGGCGTCTCATCCTTGTATTGGTGAGTGCAATTTTTCTTGATGACCCTCTGTAGCGCCATGACAGTCGGTTTTTCAAGACCTCCAACGCGAGGAAAGAAGAGGTGGTGGTGTTCCCGCGGGGAAAAAATAATCCTCCTCCTCCGTCTCCTCCTCCTCCTCCTCCGCCTCCTCCTCCTCCTCGTCCTGCTCATCCTCCTCCTCCCTCTCCTCCTCCTTCTCCTCCTCCTCCTCCTCCTCCTCCTCCGCCTCCTCCTCCTCCGCCCTCCTCCTCCTCCCTCCTCCTCCTCCTCCTCCTCCTCCCTTCCTCCTCCTCCTCCTCCTCCTCCTCCTCCTCCTCCTCCTCCTCCTCCTCCTCCTCCTCCTCCTTCTCCTCTCCCCCCCCCTCCACCCACCCAAGGGAGGCCCGCAAGGGGCGGCGGAGGGCCGCTGCGTCCGAGCGAGGCCAGCGCGGCGAGGGCGGGGCGCCCCTCCGCGCCCGAGGCGAAAGAAGAAGGAGGCCCCCGGCACGACAGCCACGCGCACCGTGCGCGCGCCGCGTTGGCCCCGTTCGCCATGGGGGAAGCGGGTCCCGAAGGAATCGGGTCCTGACGTTTTTCAGCGCCGTCGGGCTCCCAGGGCCTTCCACGGGCCACAGGATTGGCAGAAAACGGCTCAGGATGAAGATCTCGTCCTGGGGGAAGGCCTCGGATCCAGGACCCGCTCCCCCCTTGCTAAAGAGTGCGCGTGCTTCCTTGCCGCCGCCGCCGCCGCGCTCGCGGTCCCGAACCTGGTCGTCGCGAACCCACTGCCGTCATCACCGTCACCATCAACCCTCACGCGCCCAGTTCCCCGCGGCGCGCTCCTCCTCGTGCCCCGTTCGTGGCACCCCTCATCCAGCTGGTGTCCCCATTATCCTCCCTGTTTCCTCCTCCTCCTCCTTTTTTCTTTTCTTCCTCCTTCTCCGCCTCCTCCTCCTCCTCCGCCTCGTCCTCCTCCTCTTCCTCCTCCTCCTCCTCTTCCTCCTCCACCTCCTCCTCCTCCTCTTCATCCTCCTCACCCCCTCAGTCGAACGGGATCTTTCCTGCCTGTTCTCACACCCTGCCTGTCATTGCCGTTTGCAGCCTGGCCAGGCACCGCGCCCGCTCTTAGTTTGTTTTACACACCGCTGCACATCCTTTATCAGAAAAGTCCCGCGCTTTTCATCGCCTTCCATCCCATGTTCTAGTTGGTAGTGAAGCTTCGGCTCCAATACTACGGCCGCAATGATTTCGCGTTCTCGCCTCGCTTCTACAGCACAGGCTCCATACCTCCGACGCTCTACATCACGCCACTCTACGTCCAGATGCTCATATCACTAAGCATCAGCTTCTCGTCTCATCATCGTGCACTTCTTCCCGCTCACCCACGGGGCAGCCGCCAGCATCATCATCATCATCATCGTCCACACCACCATCATCAGCATCATCAGCATCATTAACACCAACGACAACATCACTGTCATGTTACCCCCGTTGTCATCATCATCATCATCATCATCATCAGCAGCAGCAGCAGCAGCATCATCATCATCGGCAGCAGCAGCAACAGCATTACCAAGCTCGCCATCAGCAGTAACAGCAGCATCATCAGCATCAGCATCACCACCATCATCAGATTCCCCAAGTTTTACGCATGATGCCCGTCCTGTTTCGGTTCGCTCCTCCTCCCTCCCTGGCCGCGAGGTTGCTGGTGCCCCCATCCTCGATGTTGGGCCGAAGGCCATACGAACGGTCTCCATGTTGAGCCCCTTTGTCGCCCGTCGCCGGTTGCCTCGGAGCCACGGTGACAGACTTTCGCATGCGAGGGGCGGTTGGGCCAAGGTGACTGTGGAGGCAGACTTGTGACAGTCGACACTTCAGATGGGGGGAGCAAAAGGGATGGTTGGAGACATTGGAAGGGGCTGAGGGCGATTGGCACGGACAGGCTTGGGCGATGAGGAGGGAGGAGACGGGGGCGAAGGAGGAATTCGCCAGTCAGTCTGCCGACGTGGAGTATTGATCCACGCACCCACCTCTTCCTGGCAGCCCAAGCCAGCGGCTTCTCCCTCGTCGTGCCCACAGACACTGCCCCGACTTATGGAAAGCTCCAACATTGTTATGTTCCGCCTCTTCTCCCATATCCAATCCCTCCTTCCTCTCAGGGAGGAGGGCGTCGAAGAGGAGAAGGAGGGGTGAAGAGCTCGCTCTCGTCTTCATCTTACCATTATTTCCCTTACCCCTCCCGACCATGCCGCATCTTACTCCTCCCTAATTGCTCAACCCCTCTCCCCATCCTCCTTCCCCCTCTCTGCTCGCCTCTTGTTCTGCAACGTACTGCCATGCTCTCCACCTCTACATATGCCAGCCATGATCCTCCCCGCTCCCTCTTGCCATCCCTCTCTCCTTTCGCTCCGCCCCCCCCGCCCTCCCCATCCTCATTACCCTTGCCATCCCCTCACTCTCCCCCTAAACCCTGTGAGTATCGACCCAACCCACACCTGTTGAAAAATACAGCAAAAACAGCAAAGGCTATCCTCATGATATTTCTCCTCCTCCTCCTCCTCCTCCTCCTCCTCCTCCTCCTCCCTCCCTCTCCTCCTCTCTCCTCCTCCCTCCTCCTCCTCCTCCTCCTGCTCCTCCTTCTCATCCTCCTCCTCCTCCTCCTCCTCCTCCTCCTCCTCCTCCTCCTCCTCCCCTCCTCCTTCCTCCTGTTCCTTCCTCCTCCTCCTTCCTCCTTCATCCTCCGTTCCTCTCCTCCTCCTTCCTCCGCCTCCTCAGCCTCCTCCTCCTCCTCCTCCTCTCCTCCTCCTCCTCCTCCTCCTCCTCCTCCTCCCTGTTCCTCCCCCTCCTCCTGTTCCTCCCCTCATCCTCATCATCCTCCCTCCGTCCCCTCCTCCTCCCCCTCCTCCTGCTTCTCCTCCTCCTCCTCCTCCTCCTCATCCTCCTCCTCCTCCTCCCCCTCCTCCTCTCCTCTTCTTCCTTCCTGTTCCTCCTCCTGTTCCTCCTCCTCCTCCTCCTGGTCCTCCTCCTCCTCCTCGTCCTCCTCCTCCTCCTCCTCCTCCTCCTCCTCCTCACTCCTCCTCCTCCTCCTCCCCCATGTTCCCCTCCTCCTCCTCCTCCTCCCCACGTCCTCGTCCCTCCTCCTCCTCCTCCTCCTCCTCCTCCTCCTCCTCCTCCCTCCTCCTCCTCCTCCCTCCTCCTCCTCCACCTCCCCTCCTCCTCCTCCTCCACGTCCTCCTCCCTCCTCCTCCTTCTCCCCCTCCTGTTCCTCCTCCTTCTCCTGTTCCTCCTCCTCCTCAACGTCCTCCTCCTCATCCTCCTCCCCTTCCTCCTACTCCGCCTCCTCCTCCTTCTCCTCCTCCACCTCCGCCTCCTCCCTATGCCCCCCCCCCTCCCCCTTGCCCTGCATGTGGCCGGTAGGCGCGCAGAGGCAGCTCCTCCCGGTCTAGCAGCGCCTCCAGAAAGAAGAGGGCAAAGAAGAAGGCAGACCGGGAGATGTGAAGCCCTGACCATATTCCCTGATATTGCTTCCAAAAGTCCAAAAGGAGAAGGGGTACAGAAAAAGCGTTCCCCCGGGACGCCAAGCTGTCGGTCGTTGCATTATCGACTACCCATCTGTGTGGCGGAATCTGTGTATGGTGCAAACTTCGTACGCATTGCAATGTATTTGGTGACGTTAGGTTTGACCGCATCCGCGCGTGACCACCTCCAACGCTCGTTCAAACATCCCACCCGCCCACCCACCCACCCGCAACTTGTCGGAACAAAAAACTGGGCGGCGACGACTACGATGAAAAGGAGGGCAAACATGTTCATGGCGATTAGGGACGATGACGACAGTGATGGTGATGAAGCTGATGGTGATGATGACAATGACGTTGGGAACGACAACGCTGGCGATGATAACGATGGTGCTGGTCAGGATGAGGAAGTGCGCGCGAAAGAAGTTTGACGAGGGTGGTGACATCGACAAAGCCGATGATGACGGTGGTGGTGATGATGACAACAACGGTGGTGATGATAATGGTGATGATCAGGAAGAGGATGAGGATGAGGATGGTGCCGATGATGGTGACGATGCTAGGGGATCCTGGTGGTGATGATGATGAGGGTGATGATGATAATGATGATAATGATGATGATGATGATGATGATGATGATGATGATGATGATGATGATGATGATGATGATGATGATGATGATGATGATGATGATGGCAATGATGACGCTGGCGATGATAGTAGCGAGTGTACAGACGTGGATGATCAGTAAGTGCACGCTCAAAAGAGTTCTGAATTTCTACCATAACGTGTGTGGCAGCCATGTGGTTTCCGTATGTGTTTGCATATTTCTGTGCCGAAACGAGTCGAACCGATTTGTTTGGAAGGGGTCCGACGCGCGCGCGGAGGCGCACGTGTGGCCCGCATTATATTGTTTGACAAATTCGGCGGGCGCGCGATGCTTATTGAACGTTTGCGACATACGCGCGCGTGTGGCCCGCATGCTCTCATTTGACAGAGCAGGTTAAAACAGTGGGTGATGTCTTGATTTCAGCAAGTGCGTGCGCACAGAAATCCGATGACGCTGCGTTGAACTACAGCACCTTTTTTCCTTTTTTAGCTTCTGCATAGCAATATATTGCAATCAGTACGAAGAAAGAGAGCCAGTGGATGTCCCTCTATTTTAAAAAAGGGGGGTGCTCGCATAACGCCCCCCCCTCCCCCCTTCAAGAGGGTGGTGAGATTTCGGACACTTCCCCCAGTTTCAACGGGGGGAGGGACGATTTCGGACCCGCCCTCACCCCCGTTTGCGCTGTAGAGGGGGGGGGGGGAATTTCGGACTCCCCCCCCCTTCCACCCATTCCGCCGGAGAGGCTTCGGGGTGGGGACTCTGTGTGTTAGACTAATGGTGTTGGGTGTTGGGTGTCAGGATTTCGGGCGCCCAGGGCTTAGGGCTTAGAGCTTACGGCTCGGGGTTTAGGGCGCATGGCTTCGGGCCTCGGGCTTTAGACTCAGAGCTTTGGGCTTTGGGCTTATGGCTTACGGCTCAGTGCTTAGAGCTTCGTGAGCTTAGGGTTTAGAGCTTAGAGTTTAGAACTCTTAGGGCTGAAACCTCAATGTTAAGGGCATAGGCCTTAGAGCTTGGGGCTTAGGGCGTAGGGTTTAAAGCTTAGGTTTAGGATATGAAGGCTTAGGGCTTGGAACTTAAGACTTCGGGCTTAGAGTTGAGGGCTTAGGGCAGCTAAGGGATTAGGACTTAGGACTCACGACTGAGGGCTTAGGGCATTAGGGCCTAAAGTTTTCGCGATGAGGGCGTATAGCTTAGAGCTCAGGGCCCGGAGAATAGGGCTTAGGGCTTAGGGCATGGCGCAGGCCTTAGGCTTTCGAGCTTAGGGCGTAGAGATTAAGGTTGAGGGCTAGGTCGGGGTAGGGTGGTAGGGCTTAGGGGTCAGGGCTTAGGGCCCAGGGCTCAAGGAGTAGAGCTTAGGGTTTAGAGCGCAGGAACTCGAGGCCCAAATCGGTGAGGCCTCCAAATCCTGCGCTCTAGGGTTTAGGGCATAGAGCCCAGGGATGAGGGCTTAGGGATCAGGGCTTAGAGTTCAGGGTGTTAGGGTTAGGTGTTAGGGTAGGGTGGTAGGGCTAGGGTTGTGATGCTAGGGGTAGGGTTCTGGTGTTAGGGTTAGGTGTTAGGGTTCGGGAGTCAAGCTTAGGGTGTGTTGGCTTACGGTTTTAGGCTCAGCATGTTTGGATTAGGGTGGTAGGGCCAGGGTGTTAGGGTCAGGGAGTTCGGGTTGGGGTTAAGTGTTTGCGTTAGGGTGTTAGGGTCAGGGTGTTACGCTTAGGGCGGTAGGGTTCGGGTCAGGGCGGTAGTGTTCGGAGTAGGGTGTTAGCGCTAGGCAGGGGTAGGGTGTTAGGGCCCGGGTGTTAGGGATAGGGCGGTATGGTTCGGGTTAGGGTGTTAGGGTCAGGGTGTTAAATTTAGAGTGTTAGGGGTAGGGTGTTAGGGTTTGGGTGTTGGGGTTAGGGTGTTTGGGTTAGGGTGTTAGAGTTGGGGCGGTAGGGTTAGGGGGTAGGGTTCCGGCGCCAGAGGGGCGGCGGGGCCACAGGGGGGACGGGGGGGGTCCGATTTTCGAGTCCACGGTGGGGGGGTGGTTCAAACGCCCCCCCGCCCTCTCGAAGGGGCGGGGAAGGGCGGGCGTCTGGGACGACGGGTCGGGAAAGGGAGGGGGAGCGATCCCGGGACGATGGACAGGGAAAAAGGGGGGGCATGGGGGGGGGTCCTGGGGCAGCCAGCGTCGCGCCTTCTGGTTGATTTTTTAATTTGACGATTTTGACATGCGCGCGTGGCGGCGCGCGCATGTGCCCCGCATTGTTGTTATTGTTGTTGTTGTTGTTCTTGCTGCTGCTGTTGATGTTGTGATTGATGTTGTTGTTGGTGGTGGTGTTGGTAGTGGTGGTTGTGGTGGTGGTGGTCGTGGTGGTGGTGGTGGAAGTGGTGGAAGTGGTGGAAGTGGTGGTGGTTGTGGAAGTGGTGGTGGTGGTGGTGGTGGTGGTGGTGGTGGTGGTGGTGGTGGTGGTGGTGGTGGTGGTGGTGGTGGTGGTGGTGGTGGTGGTGGTGGTGGAACTCGTGGTGTTGTTGTTGGTGGTGTTGTTGTTGGTGTTGTTGGTGGTGGTGGTGGTGGTGGTGGTGGTGCTGGTTTTGGTGTTGTTGATGTTGTTGATGATGTTGATGTTGTTTGTTGCTGCTTCAAGGGACCTTTTATCAATATATATATATATATGCACATATTATAGTATATGTATGTTTATATAAGAAAACTCTTTAGAGGAACGCATGCGCACCCCGTAGTATCGAAGATGCCTACCGCAAATCACCGCTGCCCCCTGCCGTTTTGGAAGCGCCTGTATGGCCGAAAGTTGGGCTAGAGCTTGGCCAAGCTATCGGACCATTTGTTCCCCCAGCCGTCGTTGAAACCCTTCGGGGAACACGTGAGGAAGAGGAGAATGAGGAAAGGAAGGACAAGGGAGGAGGAGGAAGAGGAGGAGGAGGAGGAAAAGAAGGAGGAGGAGTAGACCTCTTGGGAGCCTCTCGGGGCACTCTTGGGATCTCCTGGGAGCTTCCTGGGAGCCTCTTGGAGACCTTTTGGGGGTCTCCTTCGGCCTCTTGGGGGCCTGTGGGGGCTTGTTCGGGGCCTCTTTGGCCGTCTTAGGGCGTTCCTGGGGACATCTTGGAGGCCTCCTTGGGCGCTCTGGGAACGATCTTGGCGGCCTATTGGGCCGTATTTGGCCGGCGGAAGGCCGAAAAGAATCAAATGACAATATCATATATATATATATGTATATATACACCAAGAAAATGATTCTGGCCTCCTCGGGCCCTCCTTGAGGGCCTCTTGGAGGCCTCTTGGAGGCCTCTTGGAGGCCTCTTGGGGGCCTCTTGGGCCGTCTTGGGCCGTCTTCGAGGCTTATTGGGCAGACTTGTAGGCATCTTGAACACTATCGGGCCGTCTTGGACCATCCTGGGCGAACTTGGAGGCCATCTTGGCAGTCTTGGAGGCCATCTTCGCCATCTTGGAGGCGATGTGGGCAACCACCCTGGGCATTTTCAGCAGCCTTCCAAGTGGCCGGCGGGGTCGGCCGAAGCCCCAAAGGGCCTCTTGGGCCGTCTTGGATCGTCGGAACTCCGAAAAAGAGCAAATACGAAAAACCTTTAAAAATCCTAGGAAATTGTATGAGTTTGGCCTCTTCGGGCCTCCTGGAGGACCTCTTGGAGGCCTCTTGGGCCGTCTTGGAGGCCTCTTGGGCACCTCTTGGGCCGTTTTGGGCCGTCTTGGAGGTTTCTCTGGCGGACTTGGAGGCATCTCCTCCTCTCTTGGGCGGACTTGGAGGCCACCGTGGGCCACCGTGGCCATCACGGAGGCCATCTTAAGCCGGCCGTCTTGGAGGAAAAATTGTGCAATTGAGCTCCTTTCCGGGTGGCCGGCGGGACGGGCCGAAGCCCCAGGGGGAGTTCTTTGGGAAAAGAACCAAAACAAAACCGAGAGGGCTTCAGCACGCCATGCACCCCTATGATGAATCAACAAGGGGCGGCGGATCGAAGACGCCTACGGCGAATCACCGCCGCCCCCTGCCTTTTTAGAAGCGCCTACGTGGCCGAACGTTGAGGCCAGACCTGCCAAGCCATCGGACCATGTGGTCCCCGAGTCAGTTTAGAAAGCCTTCGGGGAACACGTGGGCATCTAGAAGGTCATCTTGGCCGCCTGGAGGCCATTCTGACCCTTTCGGGCCTTCTTGGAGGACGTCTTGGAGGGCTCGTGGGCCGTCTTGGAGGCCATCTTGAGCGTCTTGGAGGCCTCTTGGGCCGTCTTGAGGGCCTCTTGGGGCCGTCTTGGGCGCCTCTTGGGCCGTTCTGGGGCCATCTTGGAGGCCTCTTGGGCGATCCTTGGGCGATCTTTGGGAGCTCTTGGACCGTCTCGGGCCGTC